AGTTTGAGGCACGTGATTTGTATCAACCAATGGGATTTCCGATGGCATCGTCACCGAGTAAACATCGTGAGTGGCATGCGGTGGGCGATTTGTATCAACCAATGGGATTTCCGATGGCATCGTCACCGAGTAAACATCGTGAGTGGCATGCGGTGGGCGTAGTCATTGAGGTAATTAGGGTTATTTCAGTTTTATTATAGTTTTTCGTGCGCTTTTAGATGCCAACAATTTTTAACGATGTTACGATGACATGCTTACCAGCAAACGCTGTGTCAAGTCAGTCACTGTTGCTCAGACTAAGCGAATTCCCAGTGAATTCCCATAATGTAATTCCCTGTTTTGTATTTAATGGCCAACAGGGAGAGCGTGCCGCTGCAAATTTGAACTGACACCTGCGGTGAAAAGACGGGCCGTCCGGGGGCACCACTAGTCAAGGAGAAGGCCGAGATGGGACAGGTTAAGAGAGCGGCAGATGACACATTTTACGGACAGCCTCACAACATCCTCCGGACCCACATATATCACATTAGGGGTTAATAATGACAAATGACAATAATGACTTCATGATATAATGACAAATAACAATAATGACATAATTTGATGACATGATAATGACGTACATGATTGATTGATTGTCATTCTCATCTAATCGTATACATGAATGGAATATACCACTGGCTACTATAGCCGTGTATCCAACTGGCATGCAAGCACACACACACACACACACACACACACACACACACGCGCGCGCGCGCACGCACGCACGCACACACACGCGCGCACGCACACACGCGCGCGCATACACACACATGCACGCACGCACGCACTGTGACAATCACACACTCACTCTCTCTCTCTCTCTCTCTCTCTCTCTCTCACACGCACACGCGCACGCACACAGTACACCTAAACCTAATCCGACTAAATCTAACAAACTCGTGTGCGCGCACGTATACGCGCACACACGCGCAAAATGCAAAACTGAAATGTTAACTGGTAAAACTAGCCTAATAACACATGCAGTACTCTATTGAAGTTAAAAGAAAGAGCAAAAGCTCGTCGCTGTAGCCTAACATTGAAAATAAATTCCGCTATCTCACATACTAAGTAACTTTATTAATTGTAAGGTGCATATTGTTCCCCAGCTTACGTAAAGTCTAAATCATCCAATAGATGACGATAGTTGTATTATGATGTACACATCATTTAGACTTTCTATAAGTTATATATACTTAATAATATATAAATATAATAAATACGTAATTTTGAGAGGACATATGCCTACCAGTAGTTTAACGTAAAAGATATTTATTATCCGAAAATTCCACTTTAATAATCAAGTGCCTATTCGTAACAATTCCGTGTAGCATTGTCTGAGATGGTTTAAAATAAATATCCACGAAAATAATCATTTTGCCTTGAGAATATGCCATTAATTGGACAAGATCTAGTAGTTAGTTGGTCCCCGGCGCTCATGTTGTGCGATATAATCGTTGATAGGCGCGCTAGTCCCGTGAATCACCGCTTGGCGGGGTTCAATGCCAGAGAGCAGCTGAATGGCAGGCTTCAGAGAGTGACTTTCCCCCGGGCGTAGATGGACGGTCACGTGATGTGGCAGCACTAGTGTCAGGATTAGGGTTAGGGAAATAAGGCCATGTCTAGCACGGAAGTATGACTATGGTCTATCATCTCTATGAAATCTTTCTGTGGAAGATTTGGACGTTGAAGCGTACGAAGTGACTAGTGCTGCCACGTAACGGCACCGTCCATCTACGCCCGGGGGAAAGTGACATCCCAGGCTTCATCCCTCAGAGCTTACTCATGCAATTGTCGTGAGAAATCGTTACCCCTAGTCTCAATTTAATCATTATATGGTTCCCCGTTTCCTGGAATGTACATATAATTTTAGCCTGTCTATCAGTGTGCTATCGATAATATATATTTATTTTTATATATATTAGCGCCAATTTTTCCAACTCCAAATAAGCCTAATTCAGAAAGAAACAGACTCAAAGCTCGCAAAGCTAAATACGTTACACGTCAAAAAACCCCAGCTAATTTAACATATATTGAATTTTATTGTACAATCAATAAACCGCCCAGCAAGACCAATAACATAATGTACGTAAGATTAGATTTTAAAAAAATTATGAGGAAAACTAGTGAAATGGTAATTAGAACAGATTGTGGCTATATAAGTGTGTAAAACAAAAGGTGACTAGATAGTGAATGTGGTTACAAAGATTCAGTCTCTGTAACTGCATACAATAAAAATGCAGATAACATTGTAATCAAGAAAGGATGATATAATCTTATCTACCTAGTATACATTAATACCCTGATTAATACACATATACTAATAATAACATTAAAGCACTCGGAGAGCACAGACCTCCGCCAAAGCAGCTGAATTCTCTAAATGTGAAATTTTTTATTAATTAATTAATTAAGTGAAAAAATTAATTAATTAATTAAATAATTAATTGGATCCGGATCACCACCAAAATGTAATCAATTCTAAGTTACCCCATTTCTGACCTATCCTAAAATTTTTTATTAATGAATGAATGAATGAATGAATTAATTGGATCCGGATCACCACCAAAATGTAATCAATTCTAAGTTACCCCATTTCTGACCTATCCTAAATTTTTTATTAATGAATGAATGAATGAATGAATTAATTGGATCCGGATCACCACCAAAATCTCATCAATTCTAAGTTAGCCCATTTCTGACGTATCCTGAAAATTTTATGACAACCCGTCCATAACTTTTTCAGTTTAGTTAGGCTTAACCTGTATGATACAGGCGGTTCCGGCGCAGCGGCGGCAGTGGTGGCGGGCCAATCAGCCAATCAGCGAGCGTACACAAACCCACAAACCAACACTCAAACACACACCGGTGGAAACACAACCTCCGACAAGCCCCTGGCGGAGGTAATAAGTATTATCCTCTCTTCATGCAAGGAACCCTAGAAAACGTACGATCTCATGTCGCAACAATTGGTATTCCCAGCAGTCGTGCATTATTCCTTTTAAATAAACTGCATCATTCAGTGTTTTCTATACATCTACAGTTTTATTATAAAACAGCAAACGACAAACACACGACTCACAACAGAGCTGGTAACTATGGAATGCACTTATAATTGTACACAGTTTTGGTATCAGTACTAACGTAAAATAACGGAAATCATCTTGATTACAAACCCACTAGTTACATTCCGTAAACTACTGATAGTTTAAACTTACTCCAAATTTGCCTAGCATATTGTCACACCTTGTATCACATCCAATATCATTAAATAAAACCGATATGACAGCAATGAAAAATAACAGAATTTAGGAGCCTTTTCCCCTGAAACATGGTCAGAATTTACAATCACCTGAAACTGAGGGCTTATTATGAGGATAAAAAACTACTGTAGAAAAATGTATGTTATGATATGGCGTTTCCCCTAATGTCTTGACAAATGAAACACTAATAGGCTGCACGAATAAACCGTTTTTACAAAGAAACTTGCCGATCGATTTTGCTTGCCGTTTTTCGTTTGTATCCACCACGTGGCATTCTAAAAAAAGGTTACCTCGCACAATGAGCCATGAGTATAAATAATGGAAAGGTTTATTGTGATTAAATCTGATTAATTAAAAAAAAAATCTCTGGCGACTGCTTCAATTTCCAACAATTACACGATCATGGTCAACATGGTGAACACCTAACACTATTGACAACCATTTAACAGTACAATACAAAAAAACACAACAGTAACGGTGTAAATGCACTTGTGGTGTGTATGATACATTGAAGTTCGATGTGAACAGGTGCACTTATCATGTGTATTGCCTAGTTGGTCGTATTTTTTCTGTATGGACATTAATACCCTGCAGCTAATAAGCACAAGCTACAAGCTAGTGAATTTTAATAAACCTCAACATATTTAGATTTTTTCCTCTTTTGTGACACATTTTACAATGTAAGCCTGAAATTAAAGATATGAATGTGTACGAGCACATTACACAGAATAAATCATTACATTATAATCAATGTGATACAATATGCTGTATGCAAAAATCTACAGTGTAACTCCCATTTACAGACCATAAACAACAATAACAAGTTGTACGTCACAAGAGGTGGTTCACATACGACAAGATGCCATATGCGAATATAACACTGTTACTCTGTTTTTACTTCAGCTGCACTGCTGTCAGTTTTAATCTGCTTGGAAGGTGGCTCTTCTGCAGTAGCTTCCTCACCAGCAGGTCTCTTTGCTGTATCTGCAATTCATATCCAAGCATGTTAACATTGCACTGCAAACATGCTGAGAAAGATGCACACGTGATAGTTGCTACTCACAAGTTGTATTGGAAAGTGATATAATGTTATAAATCTCTGATACTCATATCAAAGTTTTAGGAATGATGGGAAAACAATTATAGCCACAAATTATGGGTAGGAAATACCTGGTTCTGGAGATTTCTTTTCGGTGTCACCTTCTACCTTTTTACTTTCATCCTCAGCGCCATCAGCAAATTTGGTCTTCTTGTTTTGGGAACCCCAGTCATCCCGGTGGCCTCTCCCGTCTCGTCTGTAATAACCTCCTCTTCCGCCTCTTCCACCTCTTCCCTGATCTCGTCTGCCTCGACCTATATGTTAACACAAAAAGTCTGATCAGTCACCATGTATTAGTTATTAAAGGCATAATAGGTCCATTGATTATGCAATGTTGACGAATGCTAGAGTAACTGGCACCTTGTGTAGTTAAT